TAACATCTTTAGAGCTTGAACTAGTAGGGCAGTTTAGTTTATCACATGAACAATGGGTGAAGTCTAATCCTAACTATCTTGTCATTGAATTTTCTTATCTTATTTTAGATTTTGTTGTTTATTTACTTGCAAAGTGAATTAAATCAATTTATATTTTGGAGTCTCTTTCAATCTTAATCGCATTCAAGTAGTTCAATTTAGTGAATCAATACGTGTTTGTATTAATCTATGTGAAAACAATACTTTACTTTCATTATATTACTTATACGATTCAGTGCACTTGTTAAGGCGTTGTTAGCCTGATCCTTATGTTATGCGGTGTTGCTGGGCTTCACAGGTAGTGAATGGACAAAGGATTTTCTTAGCCTACTACTTTTGAGTTGAAAAATTCTTCCCATCAAAATGCAACTCAAAATTCTCCCTATGAGTGTTTGAGAATGACCCTTCTACTCGAAAGAAAGTCGTAAAGTAAAGTTCCCTTCCTCTTCTTCAACAAGTTTTCCTATTTTTGAAAAAACAAAATAACAACATCTCAAGCATCACAGCCTTACCAAAAATGAACAAGAAGAAAATATTGCTAGAAAGATACTTCCCGAACAAGTTGAAGTGTAGTCAGATTGTAAAATGAGATGATAATAATAAATAAGTTCACAAAATAGAAATATAAACAAATAAGAGTAGAGGTAGATGATTGTGGGTGTTGATGAGATCTAGGAAGAAGTTTTAGCATCTTTGTAGAATGTTATTCCTCTTACTCATGCACTTATACTTTTTTCTCTATTGCTTCATATGAAAGTTTATGGAGAGTGAATCTGTTAAGTTTGCTTGTTTGCTAGCAAGAAAAAAAATATCTCCAGTAGTATCGCCCAATCTCAAACGATAGTGCTAATGCACTTTGACTATTGACAGTACTATCAACTTCTTTTATCTAATACATGTCTGGTGATGACATGTGTTAATCGACTTAAATCATCCTCCTATTATGAATAGGCCTAACTATTGGATAATTTGTTTATTTGATCGACATTTCTTACTTTTGTTTCTATATATCTTCTCCAAACATTGATACTACTGTATTTTACTTTCTAATAATTATATCTAACCATTTATCCATTATAACATTATCATTTTTATATCATGTATATTATTTTGTGTTAAGTCTTTATTACTCAACAATAAATCTTATGCAATTGTTTAAAAAAAATAAAAAATTTCTAAGTTAAAGGCGTTGGATTTGAATAAAGAAGTTCTTATATGGCTAAAGGATGCTTTATCTATTTACTAAGTTCGATACTTCTTTTTGACAAAATTGTCATTCGTATAATTGAAGTATACATTTCAATTAAAATATGTGCAATCACATGATTTTACTTTTTGACAATGGAATTAAGAACTTAAAAAACAATTGATTTTTGCTGAAAGGATGATTTTTTCAATTAATTTTCATAAGGATGTTTAAGAAAATCTGAATTTTGATTGAAAAGGTAATATTTTGAATAGAATTGATAAATTTTATAATGCAAAGACTCAAGTGCTAAAATTGGGTAAAAGGAAGTGTTTCGATGTGTTTCTTAGAAATTTGTCAAAAATTGATTCACTTTAAAGGAAGATAAAATATTTCTAAAATCAGTACAAGTGAATAAGGTAATTCAGAAGATGATAAATTTATGTCAAAAAATTTAAAAATATTTAGAGCAATTACTATCGACGAAAGATCAAGACACTTAATAAAGACGTGAATGAGAAATAATAACGGTTACAAAAAATATATTCTTAACGGTTGCAATTTTAAGCTCACATGTAGGTGGGAGTTAGAAAAAATATTTATAAATAAGATTTCATTTTATGTTTTAAGAGTTATAACTTTTACATAAAAACACTTGTATTAAAAATTTCTAATGCTAAACTTCTACACTTAAATAAAAATGAGATCAACAGTTTTTGGTGTTGGTTGATGAAGTTGTATGTTTATATTTTTATAATTTGCATTCAATCACGTTGTTAACTTTAATGCGATTAATGTTTATCTTTATTATTCATTTGTATTTTTCTGTTCTTTTATATTTTTAATTTCATCCTTTCTAAAACATTGTGTTACATAATTATATTAAAAATACACTTAAAAGATTTAAAGAGAATATAAAATTTAATCCTAGAACACTCTTAAATTTTTTTGTTTCCTGTGACAAAATTTATGGTAAATAACAATATAGTAGATTTTATAGTTGTGTGATAATATTTTTTAAAGTAATGCTATTATGTGTATTGCATATCACACCCAAAATATTCATGAAGTTCATTTTACTTTGGTTTAATTTTGTGGTTGATTTCACTCTACGAGGAATTGTTAAAATAGTTAAGATAGTTAAAATACAAAACTATAAAATAGTTAAAAATAAATAAATAGTTCAACAAATAAATATTTAGTATTTTATGAATTTTTTTAATGGACAAATTAAAATACTTAAAATGATATATGTCTTATTAACTAGATTCTTTTTATGAATGTTTATTAAAATTTAAATAATCAATTTTTATCATAAATTACAGTAAGATTATATTGAAAATTAAGAAAAAAATGTTCTGGTAATATTTTTATAGTTTTTTAATTCATAATTAATATCTTAAAAATATTTGTTAATATTCTCTACGGCATATAATATGAAAGTCATGATTAAGTTGAGTATTGTCAACTAATATTCTTAAGATATTGATAAATAAAATATTTTATGTAAAATATACTAAAAATTAGAGTGAAAGTATATAAAAAGAATTTTCCGTAAAATTTGTATCGTTAGATCGTTAACATTAGATACTTCTCGGTGTGTCTAAGAATAGGTGCAGAACAATAGAAGGATTTTAATTATTTGCATGGAACAATTAAGGCTAAACTAATGATTCGCGGGTCCAAACTCCGAACAACTTGGCCAATGAGGGTCACTTGCACACTAAGAATTCAAGAAACAGCCATTCCTTACTTCTGCCGACAGTGAAATGTTATATGAACCAATATTGACACATTTTCTATTTCCCTTTCGCCATGTCGACTCAATTACGGTCTACATTTTTCTTCTTATTTATCATCCATTTTTTAATATGTGCAATAAAAAATGACATAGTAATATATTTTTAACATTTGAAAATATACACGAGTTTATTTTTTTATTATAAGATCTCAACGCTTGTGCTCGTGATCATTTTCCTTACCAATAATTCAACTTCAAATCTATAAAATATGTACGGACGATCCCTAAAATTGCTGCGGTGAAATGCTTTGTGAAAAAAAAAAATGGCAATTATTGGTGAACGTTTTTGCCTAGCAACCTTCGAGGATATTATTAAACACATAAATTTCTTTTATGTGTATTTTAAAATACTACTGTATTGTAAAATTAAACACTTCCAATATTAATAAAATGTATATTTTATTTTTATATAATCTATGATTTGTAAAATAAAATATATTTAATAATTATATTAAAAGAATATATTTTTAAATATTATTTTTTCCTATGTTACATAAATTTAAATTTAAGCATAAAATTATTTTATTTCTGTTTAATATCAAAATATTTATTATTATAATGTAATTTTTAAAGAATTTATAAAAAAATTTAAACTTAAAAATGGTTATAAATATTTTTAAAATTTTAAAAATTAATAATATTAATAAATAGTACAAAAAATTACTACCATATTAATAATTCATAATTCAAAAGGAGAACAATAAATTACCCTGAATTTCAATGGTAAAATATAAAGGATGATTAATTGAATTAAAATAATTATTTAGTTGTGTTTATTATAAATGAATGTATTAATGAAATACATGTTTAATAAATTTGTGGTTAATTTATAATTATTTAATAATGCAAATGCATATTTCTTAAAGAGCATAATAGTAGGACTAATTCTAAAAAAATATTTAATATATACTTTAAGAGTATTTTGAATGCTTTTATAAAAAATATTTTTATTTTTATTTCAGAATACACCGAGTGGTGTTAATTATGGGGACTTGTTGAAGATACGAAATCAATTTCGATTATGGAAGTCTAATGATCAGCTGTCACTGAGATGGTACTATGTGCAAATATCTATTTAGAATAATTTATCTTATGCAATTAATTTATAGAAATTTTATTGATTACTACACACATATATATATAGAATACAGATCTCGTTTCATGACTATGGTTGACTGAATGTTAATTAACTTTAGTGCGTCATTTGTTCGGTATCAGATCGTCACGGCTGCAAGATAAAAAAAATAGGTCGTCATCTCTTACCACTAAATAGGATTTGATTTGATTTACCAATAATTATACGAAAGTATTATAATATACTTTTTATGATTTTAATATATTTTTTTATTTTTTAACTAATATACTGATTAATAGAATTTTTAAAATATTCATATATTATTTTTTTAATATTTTTATCTCTTTATTTTATTGTATCACATTGCTTTACTATTGTGCCAAATTTCTATTTAAGTCAAAACTGCAAAGTTCATTTATTTTTATTATTTATTAAGTGCACATGCCGTGTCAGCGATCATGGATTGAGTAAGATGCAGGTAAAGTGACTATTTTCAAAAGATTGAATATATTATTTGACATATTCAGTAAAAATAGGTTTATTAAATATTTTCAACGAAGGATATTGTCGTTGAAAAATCAATATAATATTTTGAAAATTTAAAATAAAATATTAATTTACTATTTTTATTAAAAAATATTAGAAATCACAAAAGATCTGAAGGTCGTCGTAATTCGCAGGTCACAGGACAGAAGCATTGAATTGAGAAGCCGCCCCAAATTTATTGGAATTATTTAAATATATATCTTATCATTGTTAATTTTTTTAAGAGCACAATTACATAAACCGTGCTTATCTAAAAGTCAAACATACAAAATAATAATATATTAACTTGAAAATAAGGACATCTTTGGTCTCCTCTATAAAATCTAGCGTTTGAAAGGCAAGAGCTGTGCAAGAAGCATTTGCTTATTCTTTCATAATCCCTTTGAAAAGTGTAATCGAAACCAACTTTACAAAATGGGTTCTTTAGGCACAACGATGAAACCCCATGCCGTGTGCATTCCATACCCAGCACAAGGCCACATAAACCCAATGCTGAAATTAGCAAAGCTTCTTCATTTCAAAGGCTTTCACATCACTTTTGTTAACACGGTTTATAACCACAAACGCCTTCTCAAAGCAAGAGGTCCTGATTCCCTTAACGGCCTTCCCTCTTTTCGTTTTGAAACCATCCCTGACGGTCTACCTGAAGTTGATGTGGATGCCACACAGGATATTCCCTCCTTGTGTGAGTCCACGAGACGAACATGTTTACCTCACTTCAGGAACCTTCTTTCTAAACTCGGTAATGACCCAGGTGTTCCTCCTGTGACTTGCATAGTTTCTGACGGTGTCATGAGCTTCACCCTTGATGCTGCTCAAGAATTGGGCATCCCTGAGGTTTTGTTTTGGACCACTAGTGCATGTGGCTTCATGGGTTACGTACAATATAGACAACTCATTGAAAAAGGCTTAACCCCCCTCAAAGGTAACTAAATTATTTATTCCATTTCTGTTGGAACGAAATTCCGTACATGAAAATTTATTTCATATGTTACATTAGTATCTCCTAACATGTAAAATATAGTTCATGTCATTTTTTTAGTATAGGTTATACACGGTTTCTATGAGTTAAATTAATTAATTAATTTTTGTGGCATGTGTTTGATAATATGTAGACTCAAGTTATATCACGAATGGGTATTTGGAGACTACCATCGATTGGGTGCCAGGGATCAAAGAAATTCGATTAAGGGATATTCCGAGCTTCATCAGAACCACGGATTCAGACGATCTTATGCTTGATTTCTTGACGTTGGAGTGCAAGAGGGCTCAGAATGCTTCTGCAATCGTTTTGAACACGTTTGATGCCTTAGAGCATGACGTGTTGGAAGCGTTCTCTTCCCTTTTGCCTCCTGTTTATTCGATTGGTCCCTTGAATTTGCTATTGAATGACGTCACTGATGAGGGCTTGAAAGCAATCGAGTCCAACCTTTGGAAGGAGGAGCCAGAGTGTTTGGAATGGCTAGACACCAAAGAACCCAACACTGTGGTTTATGTGAATTTTGGGAGCATCACTGTTATGACAAGTGAACAGTTGATTGAGTTTGCTTGGGGTCTAGCAAACAGCAACAAAATCTTTCTGTGGGTTATAAGACCGGATCTTGTGGCTGGGGAAAACGCAGTTTTGCCTCCAGAGTTTGTGACAGAGACAAAAAACAGAGGACTTTTGTCAACTTGGTGTCCGCAAGAGGAGGTGTTAACACATCCTTCAATTGGAGGGTTTTTGACTCATAGTGGTTGGAATTCAACGTTGGAAAGTGTGTGTGGAGGTGTTCCAATGATATGCTGGCCTTTCTTTGCGGAGCAACAAACTAATTGCCGTTTCTGTTGTAAGGAATGGGGAATTGGGTTGGAGATTGAAGATGTCAAGAGGGACAGTGTTGAGAGGCTTGTGAGGGAGTTGATGGATGGTGAAAACGGTAAGAAGATGAAAGAGAAGGCGTTGGAATGGAAGAAGTTGGCCGCAGATGCTGCTGCTGCTCCAAATGGATCTTCGTTTGTTAATTTCGAGAACATGATTCGGGATGTTTTCCTGGGAAAAATTGTTTAACTACTCCTTTGTTGTATGAACGTTAATCTACGAACGAGCCATTGGCTCACTAGCACAATTTTAAAAAAAACTATCAGACGGTTGAGGTTATTGTTACGTGATTTCTATGCACGTTGGCCTGTTTGTAAAATTTTAATTGATTATGAAAAAATAAAAATATTTTCACTATCGCATGATTTATTACAAAATTCGTGCCCAATCCATCAACATTTTGTTATGAAAATCTGTTTAGTCTCGTGGACAAATTAATGAGCTCTAATATTCGTGGCGAATGAAATAGAGTTTTAAGGGTTTTCTAACATGCCATAACTAGTTATTTGTTTATTAATTTATAATAAATCTCGATCTTAATTACATCGTTTTATAATCAAGGTGAACATTTATTTAACACACACATCATTTTTATCTCTCTCGCTCTTTTTTTTGTTAAATTATATGATTTATTATATTTATTATTTTTCTCTTTTCTATTCCTATATAATTCTAAGTATATAGACCTCAAACAAATTCCTTAGATAAATGTCATGTGTGTGAATGAATATTAATTTATATGTAAATAATGTTACTGTGGTACACACCATTAGCGATGACCGTCTATAAACCAGCTCGTGTCTTGGCTGCATCCATGTCCAAGCACTAGCAATCACAAATAAATTAGGAGCACCAATAACTACATCTTAAAGCTTTCAATGATGCAGCTTGTTGAGTTTACAGAACGATCATCCTCCATCGTCCCAGCATTTATCATAGATTTTTAATTTGATAATATTTTTGGAACGAACGTTAGCAAATTAAAATCTAAGGGAAAGAGAGAGATCAATTACTACCTCATCGATCGAGGCCGATAAGCGAAAATGATATTGTGAATAAAATCAAAAGCACGTGTGTGTGTGAAAGGTGAAACGTACAATGGAGTCACCAATTAAAACGATTGATATATATATATATATATATATAACGACATCGACTGTATTGTGGTAGATTTTATTGTTTTACATACACACTAATATGTAAATATGTTATGCTTGAATCACGTAGAAAACTAAAATTTATTTAATATTAAAACATTAAATAAAAAAGTTTTATAAAATAACGTGAAATAATAAAAAATATCACGTCCACCCGTATTCAATAATTAAGAAAAAGAAAAGTAGTAAAAACATGTAAAAATATTTTTTTTTATTATTTATCTATCTATATAAAAAATTTAGACTAAAATTTAATTTTCTAAAAAATCGTTTTGGTATAAAATTTTTGGGGAAAAAATAAAATTTATTATAATAATTGCATGATTAATGTATTAAATTTATATTAATCTATCATTTTATATATTTTATTTTAAAAATTTAAAATTATATTTATTTAAAATAAAAATTTCCATGTTTCATCTGTTTAAACCATCCTTTAGAAACAAATCTTCAAAACTTATTTTTTATTAATATTTTTTAAAGTCTAAAACTATTCAAATAATATAAAAATTATAAATATTAGTAAAAAAGAACAATTAATGTATTGTTTTAAATTTTTATATGAATAAATAATTTTTTCTGAATTAAATAATAAAAATAGCAATGATACATAATTAAGTCCCATCTACATTCTAATCGTGAGAGAAGCAGAAGGAGAGGGGCACTGGAGACGCATGCCCAACAATATCTGCGGTTTAATTGACATTGAAGTCTCATAAATATTGACATTGACGGAAAACAAGAAATATAAGATCAGTCTGTCACCTCACCTAAAAATATCTAATAATCAATATGATTAAAAATCAAATTATAGACATAAAATTTAAATTTTGATTAATAAATAGCATCAATAACAGAGAAAATTTAGTTAAGTTTTTATGTTCTTATAATTAATCGTAAAATAATAAAATAAAAATTGTTAACAAGTATTTTTAAAATTTAAAATAGAATATTCTATAAAAAAATATTGTTAATATTTCTCACCATAATTTTTAATAAATAATATTATTTAAAACATTCATTAATAAACTTCATAAATAAATCACCTATCCACTGCTGTTCAATTATTGAGCAGTAGATGAGTATTATTTATAAAATAAACTTCATCAAATATATATATATATATATATATATATATATATATATATATATATTGATGCCATTTTGCGAACAACACAATTTTTTTAATAAATTTTTTATTATTTTATAAAATATGTTTTAAATTAAAAATATAATTTATTTTATATTTTCATTTCATAATTAAAAGAATTTATCAACATTAAAATAAGAAATTCAAAATTATTCTTTTGTGAGATGTGAAAGCTAACATCCATATTATCGATGTAGAAGAATGTAGGTCTATTCCTTGATAATTTTATTTTAAAAATCAAATGACGATTTTTTTATTTTTATTTTTTTACAAATAAAGCATCCTATTGACAACTAAATAATCAATGAGATCATAACATGTTAAGGATTTATTTAGTAGACATAATAAAAAATTAAACATATTATTTTTTATTTTGTATTATTTTTGGTATTTATTGAAAAAATATATATGATAAATTTATTTTTCTGTAAGTTTATTTTATTATAAAATTTATTTTGTGTGAAGGTTTAAATTAGGAATAAATAAAATATCATCATCTAACATAAATATAATATTTTGTGTGAAATTTTAAATTAGAAATATATAAAATATTATAATGTTATTTTAATCTCCATATAATATAAAATCAATTAAAATTGTATAATTTTTATTATAATTTTGTTAACCTATATTAAAAATAATTAAATTTTATTTATAAAATAAAATATTTATTAGATTAGAAATATATAAACATAACAGATACCTTTTAATAATTTTTTTAAAAAATACTTAAATTCTACCTTAAAATTATTATTATTATTATTAAACCAACCAGTTGGACGTATGTAAATGAAACTGAAACTGGGCCCACAACTGATTCGGTGCATGCTCTTGCCCTTTTGTGTCTATAAAGTATGAACTGGTGGTAAGTTGAAAGAAAGAAGATATTAATGAAGTGCTACTCTTGGCCAAAATAAAAAAACAAAACTAGTCCTGAGTCGGTAAAACTAACATAAATCGACTTGAAATCAGTGAACACGTTTGAATTGAATTGATTTTTTAATAATTATTTGATAAAATTTCTATGATTATTTAATTCATTTTGAGCGTTGGTCTATAGTTGATGATGGATTGTAATAAGTTAGATCGAAATTTTTTATTTAATTTTTTTTAATTCTCTATTTAATTAAAACTTACAAAAATAATATACAAAATAAATATCTTTATTTTTAAAATTTTAAAAGTTTAACTTACATTAATTTGATTAGATCAGATTAAATATAAATTTAAAATATAAATTCAAATCTTATATTTTATTAAATAAATTTAAATTAAGTTAATTGAATACTTATTTTGTTAATTCTCTTGACTTTCACCATAGAATAAAATTCAAGTCTCTTTCATATATACATATACAATTTTATAGTTCCACTTTAATATTTACTTACTCTTGAATGAAACAAATAATTATAAAATAAGAAATGTTAACAATACTTTTTATTATTAGTTAAAATTTGTTAAAAATAAAATAAAATAAATAAAAATATTAATTTAAAAATAAAAATAACTCATAATTTTTTGTAATTTTTAATAAATTTTAATAAAAAAAAGTATTATGAAAAAGCGTATTATAATATTACTCAATATAGAATAGAAGAGAAAACGATTTAATAGCTGAAAAAATATTATGCATTAAGAAATATAAACATATATTAATGGAATGTCGGATAACCATTGACTTAGTAGAGTTTCTTGACTACTAAGGGTGACATAAGAAGTGAAAAACTTAATCATAGTACTGCTATGACAATAAATAATACAAAGAAACATCCACCATGAATTGGGAAAAGAAAAAAAGGAGAATCTCATAATGTGACTTTAGATATGTCAAATATTAGTACTATAACTCCTTACCATTGACTAGCTCATTTCCAACAACCACCTCACAATTCTTACCTAGTATACCCATATATTGTTGCAACCTTACAAAATCTTTTCCCTCCATAATTTCAATTACCAATACTTTCAAAGCATTTTCCTTTAATATAATTGCAATTACCTATTATTACCCAATCTTGCCCGAATTCAATTAGCCAAAACCCAAACATCAACTAGAAAAAATCAAATAACCAAAGAAAGCTTGCTACATTTGACTCAATCTCGATAACCTACACAAAGTTGCTATCACAGCTATACCAGAAAATCTTTACTTGTACCCTACCCAATTAAGCCTGTGGAACAGCCTTACCCAAAAGGATATGACCTAAACACTAAATGTGATTACCATGCAGGAGTTGTAAGTCATTCAACTACGAATTGTCAAGCACTGAAATTCAGGTTCAAAAGCTTATTAATGCAAAATGATTAAACTTTAACGTTCCTCAATTGGGAATAATCCATTACCAGAACATGAAGAGCCCTTGGTTAATGCTATTGAGGGGGAAAGCCATGAACCTTTAAAAGAAAAAGTGAGAGGACCGAAAACATCATTATGCTTTGTGTTGTCTGAATGTTGCACAATGTACTAATAGGGGCCAAACTTCCCTAAGCCGTTGGTGATCTATTACACTAAAGTTCTTAGCACCCTAATGATTGAGAAACCCAAGCCTGTTACTATTCAGGTGCCAACTCTTTTTCTATATCAAACTAATAAGGCAGTCCCGTGGAAATATGATGTAGAAATTTGCATGAATGATAGAACATGGGTCCCAATATCACTAATATTGTAGGAATTGGTGGGCTAACTAGGAATTGTCATATTTACACCCTTGAAATGCTCAAAAGAGATATTGGGAAAGAGATAACTCGTAGTGATGGCAGAAATGAAAAAGAGAAGGGGACTTTGATTGATTTAGAAGTAAGTACTAGTGAAGCAAAAAATGAAAGAGTTAGGAAGCCCATTAGTGATGAAGAAACTTGTGAATTCTTGAAACTTATTAAATAGAGTCCCTACTAAGATTTTACTTTTTATCTCTCCTAATAAATTCTGAACCTCACAAAAAAACCTTGTTGCAGATTCTAAATGATGCTCATGT